GCTCGGCCGGCCGCCGGCGGCCAAAGTTCCCGTTCTTTTGTTAGTGTTCTCGGCCTTCTCCCGAGCTCACTCTCAGGGGCGGCCTGCCCCCCTTGCCCGCCGCGGCTCCGGACTCGAACTCCTGGAGGTGGATCGCCGGACCGCCGGAGGCGGTGTGCACGCCCGGGGAAGTGCGGGGACCGTGCGGTCTCGCGGCTGACAGCAGGGACCGGTGGGGAAAAAGTGATGACCCAGCAGGTTCCCTGAGCAGTTGCTCGGGTGTCGTGGTGACTGCGGGGCTGCTCCGGAGCCGAGGCGCAGGAGGGGATAACCCGGTGCGGAGACCCAAGTGCGTGTTCTAAGCGGGGAGCGCGGCCTTTTTATCGATTTGTCTTTCTCTTGCGTTGTTTGCGAGTGTCGATAGACGTAAACGGAGGAGAGGGAAGTTCTTGAGTTCATGCGAGCGGTGTCGATTGAGCACCTACAGTGTGCCAGCAACGTATTAGGCTCCAGGAACGAAAAGGCCAACCGGAGGACCCCAGGTCGCTCCCGGGCTCGTGGGAGAGAGCGTAGGGATGGTCAGTGATGTCCTCTGCAGAGCGCCTGCTGTGTCCTGGGTCCCGCGCAGAGCGGGCCCTTGAGGTAAGTCCTCGAGGACACGAGACCTGGAGGAGGAACGACTTGGCGGCCAGTCCAAGGACTAGCACCGGTCCGGTGTCTGGCACACAGTAGGTTTTCAGTAAATAATCGAGGAGCAGATGGCCTCAGATGTCTGACTCCGCAGGCAGCCTTGGTAGAGGGCTTGACCGAACTGAGGACCGTGGCAGCTTGTGTTTGCTGAGCCCTCACCTGAGTCCACCCTGCCAATTCGCCTTTGTGTGAATTCACTCCTTAAAGCCTGACAGGGGTCTTAGGAGGTGCTGCTACAGCCCCATTTGCCGATGAGAAAGCAGGCACAGTGAGGGCCAAGGTTGCAGAACTTGTGGCAGAGGAGGTGGGTGCAGGTGGCCCGGCTCCAGAGCCCGTGCGCACTAAGCACGCACTGTACTTTCAGCCGTCTTTTTAAGTCAGTCAAAGCTCTGGGTTTGGATCTGTGATTCTGAGTATTATGGGGTTCTTGATAGGGCGAGGGGCCTCCTGGACAGTGGGCAGGCATGGGACCATCTGTT